GGCCGGGCGGTGCCCCTTTGCAGCCCAGACTTTGTCCCCTCCGGCGCTCGTGCATCCTCAGTCGCAGGCGCCGCCGCCGGAGATGGCTCCGAGCTGACGCTCTCCCCGCGCCCAGCCCTGCTCTGCAAGTAAGGAGTGAAACGGTTTCCTTCCTTTATTTAACGCTTTTTCTTTTTCCCCCCTCTTTCTTGGGCAATGGTTTCCCTGTAGGAGAGTGTCGGGAAAGAGCCCAGCGGTCAGACTATTTGCCTTGATAAAATGGAAGCTCGTTAGCCACCAAATAGGCTGAAATCTAATTTTCCGTTCGTTTGCGTTTCTTGTACCTGATTCAGCAAAGGGAAATCCTGGGAGTAAGGATCCTGCTATAAAGTATCAAGGCTCACAGATGAAGGTAATGCAAAGTTTGGGTTGGATTTTTTTCATTTTCTTAATAAAGGCATGTATTTCAAAGAAAAAATAACTTTTTTGAAAAGAATTTAAGGTTTTCTGTTTCCTTCAGCTTGCACTAGCAGGGTAACTAAATGGTGATTAGTTATTGTAAAGAGGACGTGAGCTAGCCTGCTGCATCGTCGGTGGGTGCTGTTGTTTTGCTGTTTCCCAAAATTGCCACGGAGCTATGTGCAATGTCGTGACCGAACTCCAGCCTGAGGTCCAAATGGGACGCTTGTAAAGCCTCAGATAGGCTGTCCCAAAGACTTTGTCCTTGAGTTTTTTTGAATACCAGAGCACATTCACAAGGCGTTTAGATTGCCATGACTTCTGGTAGAGTTTGACTTATCTGATAAGTTCGCTGATGCCGCACTGCGGAGCTTTAATGCGGTGAGCAAGGACTCTGCCACGTAGAAATAGCGGGCTGACGCAGCGGGGATTTGTCTCAGTAGGCAGTTTTCACAGCCAGCTTCAAGAGTCGCTGTTCGTCCCGGGCATAAAGTCTAAGCTTTGCCCTTTCCTAGGATTTGATACTGCTTGCAAAGACCATTAACGCCAGGGGACATAAAGATCAGCCCACGCTGACTCCCCGGGCTCAGCGGCTCCAGCCCCTGGGGACGGCCACCCCACGCGCTGGGCGCGCTTTCCTCGGAAAGCTGCTCCTACGTACTTTGACCCCCGGTGGCAAGAAGGCCACTTCTTCGGCTGAGTCCAAAGCATCCCCTTGCCCTTCCCAGCAGGGCGTGTGCCGACAGGATGGGAGGTTTTGGGCTGAGGGCTGGCACCGCCGGCTTTGTCTTTCCTCGCTGCTGTCACCACTGCAGTTTGCTATTCTGGCACGTGTGTGTGAAGCGGCACGGGTGCAGCTTTCCCAGCTCCTTGCCGTGATGCCTCCTTATTGGCACAGAAGGAGCGGCTCAGGGTAGGTGTTTCGCCTCCCGGTGAACGGCAGCCGTTGCTGGAGCAGCAGTAGCAGGGAGCGAGGTTGGTGCGGTTAGCGGGCAGCGTGGAGCTGCGGGATTGAGCTTGCTCTGCCGCCATCCCGGCTCCGCTAGGGCCGCGGGGAAGGGGCTGTTCTGTACCCGAGTTTCTTCAGGCGTGTGACCTTCAGAGGGGCTTGCTGCTGGAGGCTCTGGAGCAGGACTGTGCTGGTGGATCAAAACCATCTCTGATGTAGAGGCATCCTGACAGCCCCCTTTTGGGAAAGGAGGGAAGGAAGGTTTTCCCAACTTGAGAGTCGCTTTCTCTCAACTTCTCAATTTAATGACTGTTTGGAATCAGTAACACCTGATTATCATGAGCTTCTGGGGGTAGTACAGCATGTCTGGAAATCAGAAATACGGGTCAGGAAGGTCTGCTGCCATGTACCGGGGCTGAATCCTGTGTGTTGGGTATCGGGTGCGGTAAGGCATTTCGCAGCTGCTCTGGGGAAGCTGTGCCCATGCGATGCTGTGCTAGCTGAAGCCTACAGAATATCCAGCTTTGCTGCAATAAACCTGACACGTTCATACTGCTGTTACCAGAGACAGGGCAGAGAATGGCAGCCTCTTTACAAGAAAAGCCCTTCTGTGTTTGACGTGGTGGTGTGTCACCGTCCCCTTTCTCTGAAGTTAAACAAAATGGATTCCTTTAAGCTTTCTTGCTAGGTCACGATTTTCTAATGCTCTTGCTTTCTGTTTCTCTCTGCTGAGCGTTTCCCAAGTTGCTGTTGTGCCTCAAGAGCTGGACGTCCATTTTGGATGGCCGTTTGAGTATTGGTTACATCCAGCTTTGTTCATTATATCACTGGATGAGACCTTTCCTGAACGTTTTCACGTGGGTTTTTATTTAGCTTGGCCCTAAGCTATTTTGTTATCCTTTGGTGTAATTCTGCTGCCCCGTGGTGCATCGGTCTCTCCCTCACACAAGCAGCCCTTTGAACTTGTGCTCACAGAATTGTATTTTGATGATTTCAGATGATTTCTGCAGCTTGCCCTGGGTCTCTGTTCCCGGTTCTTCTGGTGCTTGTTCACACCCAGCTTGGCTCCTGGCTTCCTGATCTAAATCATGGGGGAAAATTTTTAATGGGACTTGACTAAGTAAAAAGCCTTGTGCAGCCCGTTTGAGACGCACTCCCTAGGTTACAGAGCACCGAAGAAATCTTTGAAGATGTTTAGAATTTAAAATTAACCTCACGGTGACTGAACCGTGCTTCCTCAGAGGGCTCAGCGGAATGGAGAGACCTCGGCGGCACTTTAAGATATAAAGACACTTGCTCAGGATTACTTCCCTGAGCCTGGTCTGTGGTCCCCTGAGATGATTTGGGACATCAGAGGTGGTGAAAACCGGTCACTTGAAATTGCAGTGTGCGTGGCACTTGCTGGTCAGGACCCCGCTGCCCGAAGGCCGTGACGCAGCGTGCAGGACGGACGGGTGCCCCTTCCGCTAACACAGCGCTCGCTGTCAGCCTGGTCACCTCCCCTCCTACCGTGTGAAAGCTCACTCCGTTAGCAGCGTTTTCTCAACACTGTGGAACAAAGCAACTGCAAGATAACTACAGACAAAAAGAAGTGAATCAAACTGCCGTGAGAAGCACGTCGGTTCACTTTGTTACAGGAGTGATTTCCTTCTTGGATGTTTGCATAATGATCCCAGTAGGATTTCTGCCTGATTCCTTTTCATACCCTCTCAAAATGTCCGGTACCTTCCAGCCACGTGGCCATATTCTACTTCTGTTTCATTACTTTTGTTTTCCTTTTCTCCCAAATAGGTGTAACCTCCAAAAGCGCCTTCACGTCAGCCTACGATGGGATCGTTTTGGTTGCTGCTGCTTTGCATCCACGCGCTGTCACCGACGTTTGCTGGAGGCATCACCCGAGTCTATTACCTGGGGATCCGCGAGGTGGACTGGAACTACGCTCCGACAGGGAAGAACGTGCTGGCTAACCACAGCATCGCACATAACCTGTATGTTTAGTTCCCTAAGAATTCAGTCTGTTGCTGGCTTAAAATAGTGATTTTGTGAGTAATTTCATGCAAGTCTTCTGGGGCATCTAAGCAAACAGGAGACCCGATCTGGTAGATGTCTGATCTTTATGAGCTTAATGTTTAACCCGGTTTATCGTAGGAACATAGAAACTGTATCAGTGGGAAATCGAACAGTCGGTTTAAGGGAGCATCCGGAGGGGAGTAGGGACGCTCCGTAACAGGCCAGATTGTGCAACACGCTGCCCTGGGCTTTCATTTTTCTGAGCTCCAGCTGGTGATCAGCTGAGGCATCCCGAGGCGTGGTGACTTTTCACCTTGATGTAAAGGCCTTCAGAGCTGGCTTCTCTTTGTGTAAGGGGAATTCCAAGTTGTAGGGAATGGCGTTGTAGGGGTTGTTTGAAAAATGGGGTTTGTTTTTGTTGCAAAAGTAAATCTAGAAACTGTAATAATTACTTTGAGTCGCTACAAAAGCAGGTTTTGGTTTTAGTTTACAAAACTCAAGCCTTTTTCTTCTGTGGTTTTTTGCTTGGGGGTGGTGTGCTTGATTTTTGTTGTGTAGCTTTCCACAGCTTTTTAAAGGCATTTGTGCTTCCCCCCCTTTCTATGGCAAATAACCTGTATTCTTGACCTGCTCTCAGTCGTTTACCCTCCCCCCCCCCAAT